GGAATTAAAATTTTTTTGTGGCTTCTAAGACAAATGGAAGCAAACTTCAGTTCAGTATATGAAAATTCATTTATTTAGTGAAAACCCACATTAAAGCACACCAACATAAAGCAGATTTGAATATAACATGATTGGTGATTGGCTTGTCTCATAGGCTCACATCATTTCATTAACCCACAACATGATTCAAGCTTTGTACAGGATTGAGTGTTCTGGATCCCACTCACACACTAAAACCCTACCACACACAATGGGGCATCAATTAGAGCTGTACAAATACGAAGAAAGTGCACTGGAAAATGGGAAACTTTCTCAGAGTACGTTTTTAAGTATAGGCTGAATGATAATTTGTTGGGAATCCTACAGAAGTGATGATTAAATTTAGGTTGGAGATGCCCTCCAAGGTAACTTCCACCTCTGCTACCAAAAGAAACTCTATCTATCGTGGCTCATGCCTGTAATTCTAGCACTTTGGGAGGCTTAGACGGGAGGATCTCTTGAGCCCAGGAGTTTGAGAACAGCCTGGGCAATACAGTGAGACCCCATCTCAAAAAAAAAAAAAAAAAGAAACTTTGATAGTTTCATGAATAGAGGCAGTGACAACGAATTAATAAATTAGTGTTATATACCATAAAGCTTATGTTTCTTATTAAAACTGGCAGAAATTGTCAATTGGTATAAAATGTAACACTATTCAAATGTACTTTCTTTTACTTATGGTTACAAGTATCCTTAAATCTAAGGAAAGCCTCAAACTTACAGCAATTGTTTCCAGTCAAGACAGTATTCTAAACCTATATGCCTGGCTCTCTTCTACCAATTATTTGCTATAATGATCAAGGGAAATTTTATACATTGCTGCTAGAAACTGCTAGCAACATAAATCAAAGCTTCCAAATTTTCAGCAAAGGTGAGGCCAAACAGGCTTGCCAGTCACTGTACGTGGAAAATGTGCCACCTGGGAGCTAGGGTCTTCCTGAAGTGAGAATGAACTCTAGGCCCATTCAGAGAAAGGATGTTAGCCTGCTGGGTAGGAGGGGAAGGTCCCTGCACTGGGTCAAGAGAGGGCCATTGCCTTAGTAGGCTTTAGGTTATGGCAATAGACATTCGTGCAACGGAACATATAAAGTCAAAGGAAAATCCATAGCTATGTTTTTATTATTGAATCAGAAGAGTGCAAATTGGACCTGAATCACTGCAAGCCATTTACAGTTTTCGTTTTTCCCATTTAGTATGGATGTATGTATTTCTCTGTAGGAATATTAATATGTTTAACTATAAGGTCCTGCTCCAGGCCCAGAGCCATTAACTGCTGCTAAAACAATGTTTTTCCTATAGAAACCAGCTTGTCTTACAGAATTTCTTAAATTTTGCACTTGGCTGGTTGTATTCCCATGTTGTCATCAACATGTTCTTTTGTCTCTAGGGCCTGGTAGAGAGGTAAATCAGGTTCCACTTTGTCGTTGTGAGTTGAGAAGCACAGCTAAAGTGAAAACACTTCTCATATTGACATTTAGGGTAACAGCAATTACGCGAATATTTGCTCTACTTCTTTTTAATGCTAGAAAAAAAAAATTTACCCTGAGCTGAAGAACTATGTTTATACTTACTCCTGGAATACCACAAAAGACAAGTAATTTCTCCTGGACAAGAATATTTCATAGGTGATGTTATTTACTCCTTTTATATCGCATTAGGAAGCACATAATGTCTACTTGTCCACTTTTGTGATACTAAGATTGATCAGTAGGTTCAGGTGTTGACTCCTTGATCTATTCATCATAAAATTAACCATCAGCAAAAAAAAAAAAAAAAAGGAATAATAGAGGGGAATATACGGATTAAAAGCAATTTAAGAGACATGTAATCCAATGGACCTTGTCTGTTGATGTGAACAAATCAACTATAAAAAATGTTTATGAATCCTAGCACTCTGGGAGGCCGAGGCGTGTGGATTGTTTGAGCTCAGGAGTTCGAGACCAGCCTGAGCAAGAGCGAGACCCCATCTCTACTAAAAAATAGAAAGAAATTACTTGGACAGCTAAAAATATATAGAAAAAATTAGAGCCGGGCATGGTGGCACATGCCTGTAGTCCCAGCTACTCAGGAGGCTGAGGCAGAAGGATTGCTTGAGCCCAGGAGTGTGAGGCTGCTGTGAGCTAGGCTGACGCCACGGCACTCTAGCCCGGGCAACAGAGTGAGACTCTGTCTCAAAAAAAAAAAAAAAAAAAAAAAAAAAAAAAGGTATGATTAATCTGGGAAATTTAAATAGTGCTTGGATATTTGATGATATTGAGAAATAAGAATGTAGTGTAGGCATGATAATGGTATCGTGCTTATGTTTAAAAAAGGTGGGTTCGAATCCTTTAGAGATATACAATGAAGAATTATAAATGAAATATGACATCTAGAATTTGCCTTAAAATTATCCAGAGCAGGGGTGGGGTCACAGGGAATGGACAACAGCAGAGATTAAGTAAGACTGGCTGTGTGTTTTTAACTGATGAAGCTCGTTGGTGAGTAAACAGGTTCATAAAATAACTTTTTATATGCTTAAAATTATCAATAATAGAAGAAAATTTCAGATATATTATGTTAAATAATTAAATTTCACTCACGCCTGTAATCCTAGCACTCTGGAAGGCCAAGGTGGGAGGATAGCTTGAGCTCAGGAGTTCAAGACCAGCCTGAGCAAGAATGAGACCCCGTCTCTACTAAAAATAGGAAGAAATTAGCCGGACAACTAAACATAGAAAAAATTAGCCAGGTGTGGTGGTGCACACCCGTAGTACTCGGGAGGCTGAGGCAGGAGGATCTCTTGAGCCCAGGAGTTTGAGGTTGCTGTGAGCTAGGTGATGCCATGGCACTTGCCCAAGCAACAGAGTGAGACTCTGTCTCAAAAAAAAAAAAGTAAATAATTAAATTTCACATGTAATAATTACATGCAAAATATGAAACCACAAAATATTTATATACACCTAGGATAGGGATAGCATGATGCCAGGGGCAGAAATTGTAAAAAAAAAAAAAGGAAATCAATTAATTTGACCATATGTAAAATGCAAAACTTCTATGAAAAGCATCACAGGCTAAAAAAATTTAAAAATACTTGTATCATATGACGAAAGGCAAAAAAAATTCTTCATATATGAAAAGATGTTACAAATTAATCAGAAAATGCCAAACTATCTCAGAAAATAAAAATGGCTAAGCATATAAGCAAGTTTTAAAAGAAGTACGGACTAGGCCGGGCGTGGTGGCTCACGCCTGTAATCCTAGCTCTCTGGGAGGCCAAGGGGGGCTCAAGAGTTCGAAACCAGCCTGAGCAAGAGCGAGACCCCGTCTCTACTAAAATTAGAAAGAAATTAATTGGACAACTAAAGATACATAGAAAAAATTAGCCGGGCATGGTGGCGCATGCCTGTAGTCCCAGCTACTCGGGAGGCTGAGGCAGAAGGATCGCTTGAGCCCAGGAGTTTGAGGTTGCTGTGAGCTAGGATGACGCCACGGCACTCTAGCCCGGGCAACACAGTGAGACTCTGTCTCAAAAAAAAAAAAAAAAAAACACAAACAAACAAAAAAAAAAGAAGTACTGACTAAATAGACATTACAGCACTAGTCATAACAGTGAGAAGCTGGAAACGTGAAATAACCAATAATGGGCAACCAGTTGAAATAAATTATGGTACACATATCTATACCTTAAAATATTAATGATATTAGAAAATGATTACTAGAGAAATGTGTTTGCTGCTAGGGAATGTGCATCTACAAAGATACTATGTGTGATATATTTTCATTTTTATAAAAAAATTATACACATTGATGGATAGGGGTATGAAAAGACTATTAATTGTCTCTGTTTGAAATTTTAAGTACTTAAATTTTTATTTTGACTATATTTGCTTTTTCTGTAATGAATTACTTTTGTAGTAACAAAAAGTCTTTAAAAATTAACCCCAGCAGTAAAACTATAAACAGATTAAAATTCCTGTTGGCAACATTCTCTTTCCTTTTCCAATTCTTTGGAATTCAAAGTTACTAATTATTTTCAATCAAATAGCTTTGAGACAAATATATGTAAAAAAGCAGATGCATATATATTCCATTTCAAAGTGTTGACAAAAACCCCTGAGGTAAGGTGGCATAAAAAAATAGCAAATATTTATTAGGTCAGAAAAACAAAAATCTTACAATTACTGTTATTGGAATTATAAAGTAAATGAACACGTACTTACATTGTGTAATAGCAGTGATTTGTCATTAAGGTTTGAGGTCAATAATACATTTATAATAGAACAAACTTTGGAAAGACAATGTCATAAAATTGTCTTATAACACCATGTTAAGTCATTAACATTTGAGATAACAATAAAGATGGCAAAATTCTTTACTCCTACCATATCATCATATGATTATCACGCTTGTTATTTATCAAATTTTAGTTTGGAATTCAGTCCACTCATCAGACTCTACTATATTGCATAATGTCCAGTTTGGCAATCTTTAACTATATTCTAAAACTAAACAAAAGCAAAAATACTTAGGAAAAATGTATTTTTTTTTTCCAAGAAAAATAAAGTTGGGTCTAAGCAGTTGATAGAGTTTTCCTCAAAAACATATTCTAAAGGAATCTGTCAAAAAACATTTTCACCATTAAAAAAATTTGAACATGACTATAAATTTGTCATTTTTGGTATACTCAATTCTTTCTGAAAAAGTTTATTAAACTTATTAAGGAAATAAAATGTGGAAGGATCGAAGAAAATACTTGTAATAAAAAGAATCATTAACATTGGCTAAGCCACTAGGGATGAGTGTACCTCACATACTGTTGGTAAAAATTATGGGATCCCATTGGTGCTTCTGAATTACCACCACTGATGTTAAGTCCTACAACATCAAAAATGAAGAATTGGTTCCATGCACTGTCAATAATAGTCTATTTGTGCTGATGTATTTATCAGCACAAAGACCCCTCTGCTGTTCAAAATCTTTTCCCATCAATCATGCATTATATTCTGCAACTGTTAGGGAATATCACACAATGTAACTAACAAAAGCTGAAAATGGGCATTGACATTAACAGTAGTTTACTAATTTTTCCCCAGCAAATCTCACATTTTCTGATAATAAAATTTTGCACAGAAGCTGGAATTCAAAAGGCCAATTTTATGTTTTATCTGAAATCTTATAATTACAGTACTTTCATGAAAAGAGTTGTCTAGTGACATAAATTGCTTCTGCATCAGTTCCACAAACAAGACAAGGACCTAAAACATCCAAACTGTTCACAGACAGAGTCCTATTGGGAAGTAAGCTTGTGATTTCAATACGGTCTTTAGCAGGATCAGTGAGCCAGGAACTTATGAGAGACTGGTGAACATTAGCTTGGTTACTAATGCTATGAGACAAAAAAGTACTAGTTCTTCCTCCTGGGAGAGAAAAAAAGAAAAGAGAAAAAACCTTTCAAGACTATTTTTATATTAGTAAACATCAAACTTCTGATATTTTAGAAAGGTGATGATTTTGATGTGTTTAATTCTCTGAACAGGCTAATAATTAATTCCATTATCGCACCTCACCATTTTTTGACCAAAGGGTTATTTAGTGTTATTAAATATTCAGATTTCCCTGGGATAATATGGATACTAAACTTAAAGTCTTCAGGTAAAGCAGAAGATTTCATGTGACACTGTCTTTCTGTTCATCTTTTAATGGAAAGTCTCAGAAAGGTAGCAAAATGGCCAGAAGACAAGTAGAATACATAAGGAAAAAAAAAGCCAAAAATGTCGGTAATATACAGAAATACAAGCTCTTGGGTAATAGAAAAATAAAGTGATCATGAGAAAGAATTTCTGGATATGTTTCTAGATGAATATTTCTAAAAATATATTTCTAAATATATATTTATTCCTAAAAATATAATCGACTTGCTTCAGATTCTTACCCTTTTTAGATAAATGTTCTTAAAAGCAGAATTTTAGAATATTACTAGATTGAAAACTTTTATCTCTAACAGAGCTTTACATTTAATACAGTATAAAATGAGGCAGAGGCAGTATATTTCAATTTTAGCCATTAATTGCAATTTTCTTTCCTCTCAACTTGCTATCAAAGCAAATAATGACAAATTTCAGTCACTCAACAAATGGCTGAGTACCTACTATGTGTCAGGCTTTGTGCTAAGAGCTGGGGATACAAGACAAAGTCTTTGATGTCTTGGCTTAAACATTAGTATGTTTAAATCTTGCTGATACTTTAAAATCCAGCTCAACTTCCTTCTCTAAAATCTTTGAAGACAACACTAGTTCATGTTTCTCTTCCTTCCTGGTACTTTCAGCACTTGGATGTACCATTAATTTACTATCTTGTAACATTTCTAATACGATGATTTAACTTTCCATGGCCCTTCTCCATAACTAAATTAAGTATTTCTTAAGAGCAAGTTGCATACTTTATATTTGCTTTACTTTTCCACAGTGTCCCATATTGTGCCTTGCAACAGTAGATACAAATGGTTTATTTCCAGTCTAATTGAGGTTCCCTAAAAGTAAACTTGCAAATGCAAGATAGCAGGGGTAGGGAAGGAAGGAAGTAAAAACCTAGTACATATTTAGTTAATCCTTAGATAAAACTGTTAGTTTTTCCATAAATGAGGTTAGCATAGATATGCATGGTCCATACATGCTTTCCACTCCAGAATTTTTCTGGAGAAGTTTTAGAATTTTTTTCCCTTAGTTTTTCTGTTTGTCTTTTACTGCTCCTATATTCCACATTGCTCTTGAATACTGTAAAAATTAACATATTATTAGAACCATTGTGATGAGACTCCTCCCATAGTCTATTTTCAACAACAGCCAATGATTCTTTGGAAATATAGGTCAGATCATGCCCCTCTCTTCCTCAAAATTCTGATGGCTTCCTATCACACTTAGAATAAAATCTAAAGTCCTTATTAAGGCCTAGAAGTCCTATGGCATCTGCTCCTTAGCTACCAGGGCGTTATCTCCTATCACTGCCTTGCCCTGCTAGCTACACTGCAGCCACAGTAGCCTTGCTGTTCTCTGCCAGTCTCTCGCCCTCGGTACTTGCCGTTTCCTCTGCTTAGAATGCTTTCATGTGACTTATGCCTTCACTTCTCTCAGGTCTCTGCCAAGCAGCCTCTCCTTACACCTCTCACCCGTCTTCATTTTTTATCCTCTTACTCTGCTTTACTCTTCTTCACAGTATTTGTCTTTGGTCCAGTTATTTTCCTTTTTGCTTCCAGTCCCCTTTCCCACTTTACTGTGCTCCACTATGTACTGTAGGAGGTGAGAGTCTGCAAACTCTGTTTTCAAGGCTTCTTTGCCATCTGTCATCCAGATGGGCCCTGCCAATGGGAGGGACTACCGGTGGGTGACTGGAAGGTGGAGGAGGGGAGAAGCAGCTCCCTTCCTGCTCCAGGTTTCTAGCAACAATAACACTGACAGTAGTTCCAGCCTGGTTGAGGTAGCACCTTTTCTGCTGATCCAGAACCAACTTTGCCAGCATTTCCAATAGTGCAGCAGTGGGGGTATTAACAAGTTTTGGGGCGAGGCAAGGTGGCTTATGCTTGTAATCCTAGCGCTCTGGGAGGCCGAGGTAGGAGGTCAGAAGTTCGAGACCAGCCTGAGCAAGAGCAAGATCCTGTGTCTCTACTAAAAATAGAAAACTTAGCTGGGCATGGTGGCATGTGCCTGTAGTCCTAAGTCCCTGGGAGGCTGAAGCAGAAGATTGCTTGAGCCCAGGAGTTTGAGGTTGCTGTGAGCTATGATGACACCCCTGCATTCTAGTCAGGGCGACAGAGTGAGATTCTGTCTCAAACAAAAAATAAATTTTGGTCTCTGAAATCTAGGGTAGTTTCTGATTGGACTCTTATTGATACGTGATCTATTTTTTAACTGTCTCTTAGAGTATTTGCTCTATGTGTGTAGAGACTTTTTGTTCTGCTCACTATTGTAGGCCCCAGCACCTAGAAGAGAGCCTGCCAGATGGTAGGCATTCAGTAAATATGTTTGAATGAATGAATAAACAAATGAACTTTGGAACCACAGACAAATCCTCAAAAACAGGAAGCTTGGGAAGTGCAAAAACAGAAACCCTTGATTACAAACTAGTATATGGCTTCTGACTGACCATTACCTACAGCTGACTTTAATCACAAGACAGGGCCTTTTAACTTGAGAAGAAACCAGTACCTTAATACATAAACGATTGGCTGGGTGCTGTAGCTCACGCCTGTAATCCTGGCACTCTGGGAGGCTGAGGTAGGAGGATCACTTGAGCTCAGGAGTTTGATGCCATCTCTACTTAATATAGAAAAATTAGCCAGGTGTGTGCCTGTAGTCTCAGCTACTTGGGAGGCTGAGGCAGGAAGATCGCTTGAGCTCAGGAGTTTGAGGTTGCAGTGAGCTATGATGACACCACTGCACTCTACCCAGGGTGACAGAGCGAGACTCTGTCTCCAAAAAAAAAAAAAACAAACATAAAAGATCTACTTTTTTCTTCCATACACCCTGTCTTGGCAATACAATATAAAAGACTTGCCAACATTTATCCTATGGTATGAGGGCCCAGGTCAATGGCACTCACAAAGAAGAACCTTGGCTGTTTGAAGTCAGCCAGCTTGTAGCATTTCTAGTCATTAGCAGTATAGCAGTAAGTAACTGACAGTCAGATTTGAAGCTCTATGATACTTGATACTCAAATTTCCTCTGAGGCAGAAGAATGAAAACATTTTGCCATTAAGTTAAAAATATGAGAATGTCAGCTGGCACGGTGGCTAACACCTGTAATCCTAGCACTCTAGGAGGCCGAAGTGGGAGGATCATTTGAGCTCAGGAGTTCGAGACCACCCTGAGCAAGAGCAAGACCTTGTCTCTACTAAAATTAGAAAGAAATTAATCGGACAACTAAAAATACATAGAAAAAATTAGCCGGGCCTGGTGGCACATGCCTGTAGTCCCGGCTACTCAGGAGGCTGAGGCAGGAGGATCCCCTGAACCCAGGAGTTTGAGGTTGCTGTGAGCTAGGCTGATGCCACGGCACTCTAGCCCAGGCAACAGAGTGAGACTATCTCAAAAAAAAAATATATGAGAATGTCTAATTTGGTACTTAAAAGTATAATAAAAACTACACACAAGAATCTTCATCAAAAAGTTTTACCTTGGTGAAAGAGTGATGACTTTTCAGGTACATCTGTGGAGGCATCCCAGTGCCAGAGGGACCCATCTTCAGAACAAGTAAATAGATGATCTGGGTTGGATGGGTGAAAGTGAACTTCCCACACTAAGAGATAAGAACCAAGAAGAGTGGCTGAACAAACAACATTAAAACCTTATCTCTAGGCATCATCTTCCATTAACCTCCATCACATACATTTGAATCTCAAGTTTGTGATAATCAAAGGCTTCAAAATTAAAGACATAAGATATTAATATCTATCCAAGCTGTAACACGTAGAAAGGAAAAAGAAGCCAAGTAAATTTACTTATGTATTGGATCACAAAATGAATAAAATAATTGCTAAATCATTTGACCTATTACATTTTTTGAGAAAAAATGACCACTTTTTATGGAAAATATTTTTTTTAATTGGCAAGTTCCCTTATTTTTAATTCCTGTGTCATTAATATATGCAGGTTAATATTATTAGAAAGACTGAGAGAGAAGACCCTAAAAGGAATATACAAATGAATTTCTAAGAGGCACAGTCTAATATTGGTTCATGCCAAGAATCTGGACACTCTGGCCTCTATCACATAAATAGCAACTGGCTCCTAGCAAACCAAAATTTGGAAATGTTCCAAGAATTTGGCTCGAGTTTCAGATGGAGGGCTTTTAAAAAGCCATGCTGGGATTGCCCCCTTCACCCCACCCATATACCTTAAGAGAACTTTATGTGTCTATAGACATCTGGGAGCCAATGACTAGCCAGGATTCCTCAGAAAGTAACCTGCAGCATGCAGATAAAACAGGTAGTCTGTAAACAAGGGTTCTGTCAGTCTGGGCTAGGTGACTTTAAAGAATCAGTATAGAAAGTGCCTGAAGTGTGGCATAAAAAGCGAATAGCAGCCAGGCACAGTGGCTCACTCCTGTAATTCTAGCACTTTGTGAGGCCAAGGTGGGAGGATCACTTGAGGCCAGGAGTTTGAGATCAACAGGCCTGGGCAATAGGGAGGCCCCGTCTCTACAAAAAACATTTAAAAAAAAAAAAATTAGCCAGGTGCTCAGTTGAGCCAAGGAGTTTGAGGCTGCAGTGAGCTATGATCACACCACTTATTAAGTATTGTCATACTTAATATAAACTGGTATTATTACTATTCCTTTTTTTTTTTAAGAGATGGAGTCTTGCTATGTTGCCCAGGCAACATAGCAGTGGCTATTTACAGGTGTAATTACAGCATACCAGAGCCTTGAACTCCTGGGCTCAAGTGATCCACCTACCTCAGCCTCCTGAGTAAGTGGGGCTACATGTGTGTGCCACAACACCCCTGGCTTATGTTGGTGTTTAAAAAAATTTTTGATGTGTTACTGGTATTATTTTAATGTAGAACAATCTGACAATGCATTAGAGCTGTAAAATTATACAAAAGTCTTGGCCCATCCATTCTTCTTCTAAAAAATTATCCTAAGAATACAAGTACATGAAGATGACTATCTAAGGTTATTTACTACAGTTTTAGATATAATAAGGAAACACGTTAAAGAACTGTCAAATAAAAATGAATTAGCCATATGTATTGTTATGGAAAGGTGCTTACATGACATATAACCCACCCAATAAAAACTTTCTGTATCTCCACAATACTTACTTTCAGCTTCATGAGCCTTCAGTAGAGACACGGGCATAGTACCTTGTCTAACATCCCAAATACTCAACATTCCATCCTGGCCACCAGTAGCTACAACATGCTGTTGATTGGGATGTCTATCAACACAGTGGAGTGGCACTCGGTCACCAGTCCTTTTGTGGGAGATACAGTGACATCAAATATGTTATTAAGTATAATTTATCTTTGTATAACACAAGTAACATGTTTTATGTAGTAATTAAATGAGAACTTTGTAGAGCTACTGGCTGAATCTTAATGATGCCAAAAAATTAACTATATTAAACGTATGTCTATGTGGTAAGAATTTTTTAAAAATTAAAGGCTAAAATTATTCATTCTCACTTCACTTTGGAGACACGGGATGCAAGATAATCTGATGGTAAGATGTATTAATACAAGACACATTTCCATTTCTTAGATTTTTTAAAAACACCATATATCAACTATAACAAATAATATTTACTCTTCTTATTTAATGCTTTCTTTATATAATGATTTTTTCAGTTTGACACATTCTATTTTCTTAAGACAGAAGAGAAGGTTGCACACCTAGAAACGGGGATTTCTGCTCAGAAAAAATATCTTGGACTGTATTTTCTCTTCAGTCATATCTAGAGTATATAGTATCCACTGTACATTTTAACAATACAATCATTAATGAGCAGAAATAAGTTCTCCATTAAATATAATGTAAACTTCAAAGAGTAAAGTCTCTGAACCAACAAATACTTACTAAATGAAACATGATACTATCAAGCCCATCAAGTTATACTTGCTCTGTCAAATTTAATCAGGGATCATTCTCTTAAAACACAATTAAAATATATTATGGTTTAAAGTGAGTTGCTATAGTCAAACAAATTTTGGATTACACTATTGAAATTACAAATCAAAACTTACAGTGACAATATCTGAGAAGGCTCATTTCCTTGTTGTCTGAAATCCCATATTTTTAACTGTCCAATTGAATTCACCGTAAGAATCTCAGGAGTTCGAAGGAAGGTCACAGCATGGAGTGTACTGCTGTCCGCATTGTCTAAAAATTTTAAAAATGGTAGTGTTAATGGGTCCCTTTTTTCCCAAGAAGATCTTAAATCACATTCCTTCTATTGATTGAAATATTACAAACAGAATTTCCAGTAAGTCATAGTTTCATTTCTATAGAAAAATGCATGGTAATGAACACGTTTAAATGGACTCTCCTTGGATAGAAAAATTTCACTCACAGGACATCTGAACTGTTTTCACATGGAGGTCTAAGTTTTCACATATTCTTCTTTCTCTATTTCCTCTTAACATTGTTACCCTGCATTTCTGAGATAGTTGTTCAAGCTCCTCTATGTCCAATCTTATTTCCCACTAGTCCTTGACTGAGAACTTCTATTCTATTGGGCCAAACCCCAGTGCTTCCTACAGAGATCACTCTGACCTTATATTACTCTGCTGACTCATCCCAAATCTACACATTTTTATGTTTATCAACTCTCTCCTATGTGACCTTGTTCCTGATTGTAATAATGGTCCTTTTCTTTGATTTCCTAGAGTGTTCAGAACTTATGACACATAACCTAACATACACTTAAAGACTTTTGTTTTGTGAGACTTCTCCACACTGCCACTAGGCATTGGTCCTTAATAATAAACAAGTGATGTGATGTAACTGAAAACTGAAAATCATAATCAACAACACAAAAAAGTGATTCACAGGCTCAATTCCCAGAGATTCTGATTCAAGAAGTCTAGAGTGGTGAATAGTTAAAAAATCTTTTCAGACAAGCCTGATTGAGGCATAGCTGAGAACCAATAGACTACAATAACCCCTGCTCAAAAACTTTTAATGACTCCTGGGTTTTCCACCTAAAAAATGTTACCTCCGTGGTTTTGCATTAGAGACTCTTTGCAACCCAGCCCTAACTTACCTTTCTTGCTTCATCTTTCATCTCTCCTATACAAATATCTAAAGTCAGGTCAAACTATACTGTTTGTCATTCTCTGAATGGTTTTATCCTGCCTCTGGCCTATTTCCTTTGTCTGGTGTGCCATCTTTTAGTGTTACTTATGGTCTAGATTTAGAAACTAGATAAAATTAATTGCCACTACCCCCCCAACCCCCTGCAATTCTTTAATCTGATAATCTCTTCTAGCCAGAAAATAAAAAGTTTCTGTCTCCTCTGTAGTCAGTCATTCATGCTGGCCTTACCAATAACATACTGTCTTGAGAAAGGGATCCTGCCTTGTAATATTTTTATATTCCTCAAACATTTAACATTGTGTTTACTTAGCATATGGTAGGTAAGTGCTCAATTACTATGTGATGGACAAAAGAGATATAATGATTTTTTCTTACCTATAGTTCTCACAGCTTCCTTGTGATCAGCTCTGAAGAGATTTATTCGACCATCTTCCCCAACTGTGACAATTTCTGGGTTGTTGCACACAATACCTGTACATGGTGCACTGCTATAGGAAGGACTGCCTGGACCTGTGTGGTAGTGAGCTGTTGTCCACTGTTGGTTGACTGACAGAGTCTAGGCATCAGAAATAAGGATAATATTAATTAAAGCAAAGTACTAACAAACTAGCATTTTTTTCCCCAACAAGAGTATCTTTAAACTCTGTCTCACACTATTCTAGAAAAATAATAACTTTCTCCTTTTTCAAATACTGAAATCTAGAAACAACTTCCATCAAAGCTCTGTATTCACCGAATTAGATTCAAAGGAATATTGTTCAATAACCCCCACATTTCTCTCAAAGTACAGAAATGGTTTTTAGGTATCAAGTAGATCAAGTAGTTGTACATTCAAAAGTAATTCTTTAAATTCTTATGGGAATGAGACCGCAGCTAATAAATAAATCTCTATAGCTTTTTCTAAATGACTCCATTAAGAAAAATACTCAACAAGAACTGGGTCTTACATTAACTAGGCACATCTATTAGTAACGTAACCTTTATTAATTCTATATTTTAGGTCTAAACTAACAGAATTTATTTACGGGATATCCAATTTCAACAAAAGCTCACAGAAACATGGTTCTAGAATTAATCTACCAAAAAGTGGGTAATATAAGTGATATTTTCTCCTTCATGCTTTAAGACTATAAAACTTCATTATTTGTGTAATGATTAGGGCATAGCCTTCTTTAAGCCTTCCTAAAACTAAGTAAAATATAAATTCACCTTTCAAACAAAAGTTCTTTACCTGGTTATTTGGATGGTGAAGGAAAATTGTTACATATCCTGTTGATGAAGCAGCTACAATTCTTTCCTGATCAAAAAACTAAATAGAAAGTTTCTGCTTGTTAAAAGATTCAGAAATATTAACAGAGAAGAAGCCCATTTATTTAACTGAAATAGTAGTAAAGCCTCTAACAATTTTAAAAAGAGCCTATAAATGCCAAGCAAATAAAATGGGTTAATAGATATGAAAGTCAAAACTGCTATACAAATAAAAGTATTTCCATGAAGAATAAACAATAAAATTTTTTCCTGAACTCATTCACCCACAATTGATTTAATTTTGGACCACCACAATAAAGCTTCAAAGAAATACCATTCCTAGGGCTATGTATCTTTCTACAGAATAAAATGCAGAGACTCTAAAGTCATACAGATCAGGATTTGAAAACTTAATTTCATCACCACCACTTACTACTGGTTTTGAGACCTTGGCCAAGTTTAAGTTCCTTAAGTCTTGGTAAACCTGTAAAAGGGAGAGTACTAATCTCTACTTAGGCAGTTGTTATGAGAATTCAAAAAACAAAACTATGTAAACTACCATGCACAGTATTTGTCACATGGCATATGTTCAAAAGATATTAGTCTCAGTTTTCTCATTGGTAAAACAGAGATAACAATACTTGAAGCAGAGGCATGCAATGAGAATTAAATTAGCTTATGTAAAGCTCTGCACCAAACAGTGCTCAGCACATAGTAGGTAGTCAACCAATAAAAAACTATAATTAGATCTATATCCCTTTTCCCAGTCCAGATTCTTCCACTTAGTGGTTAAATGGTGTTAATTCAGTTTCCTGTAAGCCAGGGGAGAGACTAGACAAACTTTAAGGTCCTCTGCGTCTATAAATATGTTACTCTCAGTTTTTTAAAAGTTAGTTTTTGGATACTACACAGATTTACCTGTAAATCCATTACATCACCATGGTGTCCGATATCACACAATAATTGATGGTCTCCTTCGAACCCTCCATCAGAGTCCAAGTTTCCAAAATCACCAATAGACCACAATGAAACATGATTTTCCTGAAAAGCAAAAAGTTTTATCTTGAGATAACGTAAATGTCAACTCTGGGAAAATAAAAGCTATATTGCCTTCAGGCAACCTTGTTCCCAAAGCATCTCAGACAAATGGTATGGTGAGAGTTTAAAACATAAAGGGTAAGAGGCTCAGGAACACCATCTCTGGCTCTGACCCTGAGATGAAGGATTGAGAGACGGAGAAGTGCAAGAGAAGCCAGAAGGTGAGTTCGTGAGGACGGTCGGAGGCGCAGTTCAGAGAGAGAGAGAGAGAGAGAGAACTCCTAGCCCAGGGGCCGAGGATACCTCATTGTCCCAAGAGCCCGTAGCGAACGTTTCCGCGGTCTGCAGGCTCCCCAAAGGTACCGGTCGCCAGCGGGTTTTGCTAATTTTCTGAGACACAAACTTAGCACAAATTTCCTCCATGCCAAAATCAGCGTTAGCAGGCACAGCAAGGAACACAACGCGCACTTCTCAGTCCCACCCCTTCCCGTGGAGCCCTGATTGGACGGGAACTCACTGGAGAGACGGTGGCTGCGGAGAGTCAATTCTCGTCAGTAGCTGGTGTGTACATCGCCAGCACTCAAACTGAAGGAAACTGTGAAGCCCGTCCTCACAAATGTTGCTCTGAGCAGACGCAAGAGTGCCTCGGCCATTGTGCAGTAGGACTTGCTCCTAATCTGCAAACTCAGTACAGGTGCACTGAGATAATGCATTTGTGCAATAATTGTGCAATGCAAAATTTAAGAGCAACATAAAACAAAATCAATGCAGGAGAAACCACCCTGTAACTACACCTAAGTATTCGGTTGCATGTCACTGCACATATAAAATGAATCAAAATCCTTAAGTTCTCATGGAAGTACCTTGAGTAAAGTGCCAACTTATTATCTTAAACTTCTCCCTGTTGTCCCCCAAACAAATCCTTTGCTTCAAAGTTGAGAAACACTGTCAGAGCCTGGAGTTGGAATTTTGAAAACTCCAGTTTTAATTTTGATGCCAATTGCCTAGCTGTGTAGCCTTGGTCAAGTCACTCATGTATATAATTAAGAATGAGTTTGGTGATATCTAATGTCAACTGCGCAGAAATCAGTGCTCTAGGTACTTTCTGTGCTTTCGGTTACACCTACAACATCTTTCCATTACTCTCTACTTCTCAGAATCCTATCATTCGAGTATCAGTTCTTTCCTGTACTTTTTCCTGATGACTCAGGCCCATATTGATCTAAATTAACATAGCACGTGATATCTAGATCACTAATGACACATTTTGCACTCTGTAGTTTTCTTAAGATACAGATCTCTCCAATTAGAATATAAATCCTACCAAATACAAGAGGTATGACTTATCTTCTTAATCTCCTTTACACTATAGGTATTCATAACTGTGTGCTGGTTGTTTCATAAACAACCATAAAAACAATAATATGTTGTTGTTTTTATCTGATATTGGTAGTCCTGCTTCACAAGGACAGCTTGTGGAAGCACTGCGTGTAAATGCAATTTATCTGGGTCAACTTTAGATAGAGCTGTCAGGTTCCTGTAGGACTTGATTTTTTTTTCCCAACCAGAAAACCATCAAGAAACTGTAGAGAGATGAACTGGAAAACTATTAAATGGATAAGAGTCCCAAGCCAATAATTTTATTCCTGTCTAATATTGAAGTAAAGAACATTGTTTTGCGTGGTTTATGATCACAGAATCCCAGAAAATAGGTAATGTATATTTCGGATTGGAGGCAGACTGAGTAACACATTTGACAAAATCTGGTAAGAACTAGAATTTGAAAATTGCTACTGATGTACTAGCATAGATGTCTTAGAAAGCTAAGACAAATGTTTTCTTCCTCAAAGTTTACTGGACTAAATGATTGCTGGAATCTGGCGGTCTCAGTTTTAATTAGGAGTCAGCGATTTGGCTGTGACAGGCAATGTTTCCTGTCAGCTTCTCACTTGTGGTCTTGCAGAGCTGATAGCAATAAAGCTACAGTGGAATTTGAAAGGCTTAATTAGCTAGAAACGCACACTTGCACTGGGAGAATAACACATTCGCCATAGGATATTGTGGTATTTTTTTTTTTATTGTAACCCTTTATGTCTGTATTGCTCTAAATGAGCAAATCTTTGTCTGCCCCCTCCCCCCATACAACTCTCATCTGTCATGGTATTTTTCCATTCTCTGAATTTGCACTTTACAGTTGAAAACAAACCAGTATGCTCTGCTTAACCAAACAGTGACATGCTTGCACAAAGCCAGAGGCTGGTGTACTCGCATTAGAAAGGGTCTTGGCCTTGGATTCTATTAAGATCATTGTTCTATTATTCGGGCTCAACCACAGGGAGCCTAGACTCTAACCAACCTAAATATTAGTCAACTGGGTTGGATGAGGCAGGACGGATGAAGCCCACCGCCTAACAATCTGGACAGCTATAGGAGCAGACCCGCCGCTCGCAACAGCTGACCCAGCGGCGACTGCGGAGCCACCAGCAGTGGCGGCACAGATCTACCCGGCCATCCCGCCGTCGCTCTCGGTGACCGGAGACGCAGCCAGGAACGCGACCGACCGCTCCGGGGGCCGCCGGCCTGGCCGCAGGCGGTGCCAGTCCAGAGCCTCAGAAAAGCACACGCAGTAGCAGCTGCGGCGGCGCTGACTCAGCCCGGCCTCTCTGCAGTTTCCGGATAGCGGCCGCACCCACAGACGCGGGCGGGGCGGCAACAGGCCTCCCGCGCCTCGGGCCCCACCCGGCCGCACCCGCGGCGTCATAGAGCGCATGCGTGCCGCGGGGGATGCCGGGAGCGCGCAGTGGCGGCAGCGGCGGCGACGGCAGTAACAGCGGCGTCTCTGGCGGAGACGCCAGCGGGGCTGTGTCCGTGTGGGAGGTGGTCTTATTCTTAGCGAAACTGCTGGGCACCGTCGCCACGCTGAAGGTGATCCTGTTCCTGCTCCGGGTGTGCTTAGCGATGGCCTGGAAATCCGGCGGCGCCAACCACTCGGAGCTAATCCACAATCTCCGCAGTAAGTGCCACCCCCGCCCGGTGTGGGGCAGCTGGGGCAGGCTGGGCCTGGACCGGGTCCCCCTGGACTGTGCGGAACGTTATGTCTACCCTCCCTTCCCCCCGCGCCTGTTGGAGGACTCCAGCGTAGGGTTGCACCAGTAGTCCCGAACGGCACGCGCTTGCAGTCTCCTCCCCCGGGACCTGTCACTCGTCGGCGACGTGGATTGGAAGGGGAGAGAAAGAGCAAGGGGCCGCTGCTGGTGGGGCAGGGGCAGTCGTCTCCCTGCGGGCCAGGGGGGAGGGGGCGCAGCACAGGTGCTGGTGCTGTCAGTCGAGTCCGCCGTCCGGGTCCGGCGTGCGAGGGCGTGCCTTTGGGGTGGGGAGGTGTGGGCCAGGCCCTTCTAGAAACTGGGCTGGAACTGAGGGGACCCCACCCTCGCCCCCGCATTTTCTCACCTTCCCCCTCTTTCAGAATCAACCTCTCTGCATGCTTTCCCTCTTTTGCTGCCTCCCCCGCCCTCCAGTTTTTCCTCTGGAGGGAGATGCCACCGTCTGATACAGGCGAGGGGAGAGAGAGGAAGGTGAGAGTATTGCCATTGCAGATGCTGGGAGAAATTTCTTGGGCGGCTGTCCAGTGGAAAGCTCCGTGGGGGGCGGAAGAAGAGAGAATCAGGGGATGCAGTTCCTGAGAGACTTGTATTTCAGGAGCCTTTAGAGGTCCTGCATCCAGCAAAACGATTGTGTGTGGAATGTTCTAACTTTTTTCACGGCTAACGTAGGCTTTAAAAACCTTGTATGGAAGTTTCTTTATACCATTCCCTTTAGTTATTGTATTCCTTTCTCTGGTGGTATTTTTAGGGTGGGATGAGTGCTGTGTCACGTTCCTTTTTAAAATCGAAATATAGTGTTCCTGTCTTATTGAGAGACCAGAAGGACCGCAGTCTATAATAATCTCACTCTGGTCAGAATGTATAGCACTCTCTTTGCCACTAACTTTGCAATAATCATATCCTGCCATGCGGTATTTTTAATTGTCCTGTTATTTATCTTTTTGTGTGTGTGTTTTATCTCCCAACTCGATTTGTAACCTCCATAAAGGCTGGGACCATTTCTTAAAAGATGTCTTTGAATCCTTTCAGAGAACGTATACTCATTCCTTTTTTCATAAGTGCCAATTAAGTGTCATTATATACCTAGATCTAGGAGTATAATGGAATATAATGCTAGGAATACAAAGGTGAATGAGAGAAATAAGCAGTACTGTTTGGCACATGGTTGGCACTTACATTAATCATTTCGAGGGTTGGTTGGTTTTTTTTTTTGACAATGCTTAAAATTTGGAAATTGTGTCTTCAGTAATGGATGTTTAGATGTCAGAATTTTGTCAAGAATTGCTGGTTCACTTTATGCAACGGCATTTGATTGGAAGTTGACATTTATGTGCTGAGGCAGTAATATGTAGTATAATTTAGGTTCCTGTGGATTGCACATAAAGTCAATATGTTGTAAATATTTTTATAAAATTTCTTAACATGATCTAAGCACTTGTTATTGCAGTATACATACCTGAAACATTCTATACACGAATTGTGATTAAGTAATTTTCCACCAGTAGGTTGTCACAGTAGACACTTGGCTGTAGCAGAAATTTGTAATCAATCAGGCTCTTAAAGTCTCTCCTTTTGGGGCCAAATTTGTAGTAAGCCAAGACTAGATCTTTTCCCAGTGGCTTTGTAATCACTTTACTGTATTGCATTACTGTTCTTAGCTTACATTTCTAAGGATGTTTTTCTTTTTCTTTTTTTTAAATAGGAAAATCTTTTTATGACATAGACATAAAGAAGGGTTTCTTAAACATAATACAAAAGTACTAACATAAAAGACTGATAAATTTAACTAAATTAAAATCAAGAACTTCAGTTCATCAAAACATCATAAGGAAAATGAAAGATAAAGCTCAAAGGGGCAGAAGATATTTACAGTATATAAAATCAATAACAAATTAGTATTCAGAAAACATAAGAACTATAAACCAGTAAGAAAATGTCAAATAACTCAGTAGAAAAATTAGCAACACACAACAGACATCATGCAGAAAAGGAAATTTAAATGTCTAACAAACTTATGAAAAGATGTTTAATCCTACTAGTAGTCAGAAAATGCCAGATAAGACAACAATGAGATACCATTTTATGTTCACTGAACTGGAAAAAGAAAAGAAGCCTGTTAATATGAAGTGTTGGTGAGGAGGTGGAGTAATGGGAGCTTTTTACACATTACTGGTATAAAAAATGTATATTGCTCTAATACTTTCGAATGTAATTAGGTACTAGCTGGTAAAGTTAAGTATTCACATAGCCTCTGACAGAAATTCCATCCTTAGACCACACTCTAGAGAAACTTGCTCATGTGTTAGGAGATGTTTATATGAATTTTCTTTACAACATTGTTTGCAATATCAAAAAATAAAGTAAACCTAAATGCTCATTGATAAGAAAAAAGATAAACTGTTGTCATGTTTTATACAGTATCTAAGGATTTTTTTTGTCAGAAAATTTAATAAGGAATATTTAACATACATGGAGGTTGACATTGCAAATATTTAGTTTTATACTAGATCTATGATTGATAAGGGGAAATTAGAGTAGTCAGGTTGTTTAGACTCTTTTGTAACACTTGTGCCACTTTAGTTTCAACTTCTTGCTGAAGTTTGTAGCTAATAGATTTCTTTTTTATATTAGTTTATTATAAAAGTAATATTTGCTCATGCAAAAGTTGTGGTTGACACAAAATTTGAAAATGTCTCCTTCCTTCCTCATTATTCCACTGTGTATTCTTCCTAAATTAAAGGCTTTTAATTGAAACCTTAGAAAAAGATGAAAATGATTATGCTGATGTTGAAATGAAAAGGGATCTGCGTATTGGAAGAGGAAGCAAATTAGTTTTAATATTTTTTCAAAGAAACGAAGTTCATGATTTATTTAGTTTTAACTTTGTAATTTATTAAGAATATTTACTTTTTTTGTATTAGAATACATAATAATAGAAATATGATAGTATATGATTTCATAGTTGGTGCATCATTTAGAGAAAATTTTTATTGTTATTTTTTTGAGATGGGGGTGTCACTGTGTTGCCCAGGCTGGTCTTAAACTCCTGGGCTCAAGCGATGCTTCTGCCTCAGCCTCCAGAGTAGCTGGAATTACTGGCTCAAGCCAATGACCCAGCTCGTTTATAGAATATTTTAGATTGTAATGATAGATTTCTTATTATCTCGTGGCTTATGTTGTGATGATTGCTCGTTAGTAACTTAGAACAGCGACTAAGTGACTTGAGCGTGCTTCAAAATTTGGATCACCTGGAAAGCTTGTTAAAACAAAGATTACTGGGTTTTGAGGATTTGTATTTCTAACAGATTCCTAGGTGATGCTGCTGCTGGTCCAGGGACCACATTTTGAGAACCACTGACAGAGAATTGGAAATTACAAGATTGAGTTATACCAGTGTCTCAGCTAAATCAATTTTATGCTTTAAATAAAGTTTTAGAAGTCTATAGCAATCTTGCCCTATAGAGCGCTCTGTGATCTCTATTTATGCTGTCCGGTAGCTACATATGACATTGAGCATTTGAAATGTGGTTAGGCGAACTGAGAAATTAAAATTTAATTTTATTTAATTTTAATTAACTTAATGAAATAGCCACGTGTAGCTAGTAGTTACCATATTGGACAGCACAGGTCTATAGAAATGAAAAATACAACTAATTTATGATTATGGGCTGATAATGTGCTCATGAAACAAATTGGCTTAATTTAAAACATCTATGAGCCTGCTTAATCCAGGAAATGTGACCATTTAAGTAATGTTTATATTAGAGTTTATTTCCTACTTTTATTGAGTTAATTTCAATGGTAAAATTTAGGTAAGGTAGCAGAGTAGATAAAGTGATGTTCTAGAGCAGGGGATATCTAAACCCAGAGGGTTTGTGGTAGGTTAACTCTTAACTGATAGACTTCGAAGTTATACAATAGTCCTCCCTTTTGCTTTCCAAGGTTTCATGTACCTGTAGTCCAAAAATATTAAATGGAAAATTACAGAAATAAACAATTCAAAAGTTTTAAATTGTGTGCTGCTCTGAGTAGTGTGATGAAATCTGTCAGTGTCCCACCTCATCCTGCCCAGGATTCGAATCATCCCTTTGTCCAGTGTATTCATGCTGTCTGTACTACCCACCTGTTAGTCACTTAGTAGTAGCTTACTTGGTTAGCAGTGACTGTCGCAGTATCACAGTGCTTGTGTCCAAATTACCCTTATTTTACTCAATAATGGCCCCAAAGCACAGAATTAGTGATGCTGGCATATTTTTATAATTGTCCTATTTTATTATTAGTCATTGTTGTTAATCTCTTACTGTATCTAATTTTAAATTAAACTTTATTATACGTATGTATAGGTAAAAAACAAAGTATATGATGATGCTACTGTACCCTGGCCACAGTGACAGATTGAGACTGTCTCCAAAAAAAAAAAAAAAAGCGAGCGAGCAGTAGGGTTTTTTTTTGTTTTCTTTTTTTTGAGGGGGAAGGAGAAGTGTGGGAGATCAGGAGTTTATTCTGAGGAATGTTGAGTTTTTATAAGATATTTAAGTGGAGATCTTTAATAGGCATTTGAATAAGAATTATGGTGATTTGTAGTTTTTATATTCTAAAAGCATTTACTTTTGCAAATAAAGTGAAATTATTTTCTTATTCCATTAGAGCATCAGTTGTTACCCACTAGCAGTATAGCTAACGGAAAAGAGCGTTTAGTCTTTTTTTTTTTTTTTGAGACAGAGTCTGATTCTGTTGCCTGGGTAAATGCCATGGCGTCAGCCTAGCTCACAGCAACCTCAAACTTCTGAGCTCAAGCGATCCTCCTGCCTCAGCCTCCAGAGTAGCTGGAACTACAGGCGCATACCACCATGCCCTGCTAATTTTTTCTATTTTTAGTAGAGACGGGGTCTCTCTCTTGCTCAGGCTG